TTAGGGGGAGGCTCCTACACCCATGGTTCAAAAATCTCAGTTTAGATTTCATATCATTTGTAAGCTCTAATTGGGTTGTCATCAATTAGCAAAAAGGGGGAGATTGTAAGTGCAATCAAGCCCTATTGTGGGTTTTGGTATTGATGACCACCAAATTAGAGGACTAGTGAGATTTATCGAGATGACAAGCAGGGAATCAAAGAATGAGGATGATGAACAGGTTGCAGGTGTTCTAATTACAAAAGGTGGCTAGACCTAGCTCAAGGGAGGTTTAAATTCTTTTATGTTTTGAATTTGAGTTTAGGAAAAGCCGTACTATCAAGAGAGATTTTAGGACAGTTGGTCAACTGTTGAATCAGATGCTCAAATTCACAGATTTACATCCTTCCACCTAGTCAAAACAGCCAGCCAAATTTCATATTATATTATCTATTTTGGCTAGGGCGGCAGTGTCGCCCTGTTAAGAGCGGTAGTGCCGCCCTTAACTGACCGTTGGGCTCGGGGGGTATTTATACCCTTCAGGCCCGGCCCACAACGGTCATCTTCTCCACTGAATCACTCTGTGCAAAAACAGACAGAACCAAAGCTCACCCCTCTCCTCCATTGTTGCTCATCCATCCCTCAAGCTAATCCTTGATTCCAACCATCAAAACTTAAGAGAAAAGGCAGCAAAACTCGATTGGGGAGGAGATCCACTGATTTCCAAAGTCTAAGAGCATTTGGTTCACGTTTGGCCGGCGGTTCTAGGGTTTGTTACTCTTGGAGCTTGCTCTTAGCCGGCTAGGCATCGCCCTTGTGCTTGCCAACTTGTGTTGCAGCTTTGAGAGGTTTGTAACCTCATTCGAAAGCTAAGAAATCATCCCTCAATTCAAGAGTTTACTCTCTTGATTTGAGAACGAGGGTAAAGCAAGCCTTTGTGGCAAGCTTAAACCTTTTGTGGCTTCCTCAACAACGTGGACTTAGGCAAACCTTAGTGGTGAGCTGAACCACGGGATAAATCGTGTGTCTTGTGTGCTTTATCTTCATTAAACCTGATGTTTACATTATTGCTAGCTGTTGCTAGAGTTTAGTTGCTCGATTCACTGTTGTGTGAAGATTCTGTGGTATCCAGTCTTCGAACTGGATCTTGGCGTTATATTGCAGGATTAAGCATCTAGTTGGGTCAGGTTTATATCTGTTAAATCTCAATTGTGTTAGATTATTTTTTGTAGAGCGGCAGTGCCGCCCTCTGTTCTAATAGAGTTTCGAGTTGAATTTTTATAGGCCTTTTCACCCTCCCCTCTAGGCCTTCTTTTTCTTTCAGTAGATCCAACATGCTATTGTTGCTCTTCCTCATGTGCGACAACAGGCTCTATAGGATCCTGAAGGATAGGTTCCTCATGTTCATTTATTGTTGCCACGGGAGAACTAACAACATGTACTATCACTACGGTGTCCTGCACAGAAGAATGGCTCTTGAACCATCGGAGTGGACACGTATATCTTTTTCTCCTCAAGGTTAATTTCTCGCGCTACCATGCTCTCCCTAACCATCTCATCCTTCAAGAACACAGCATATCTTGTTTCTACAAACTTCGTATGTCTGTCAGGACAGTAGAAACGATAACCTTTTGACTTATCTGGATAGCCAATGAAATGGCAACTAACTATCTTGGAGTTTAGCTTTTCTATGTTTGGATTAAATACTTTAACCTCAACTGGATGCCTCACACACGTAAATGGTTAAGTGATGGTTCTCTTCCTATCCACGCTCATATGGTGGTTTAGGCACCGACCTGTTTGGTACTCGATTGAGAATGTGAATGGTAGTTTTTAACGCCTCCATCCACAAACTTATCGGTAAAGTGGAGTAACTTATCATACTTCTCACCATATTCATTAATGTACGGTTATTTCTTCCAGCTACTCCATTCTGCTAAGACCGATTATGCCATTTTCCTATAAGAACTTTGCAAACGGTCCAAGAAATTGGCCATATGGGGTATGTCGACTGTAGTACTCCCCCACGGTCGGATCTTACTGTCTTAATCTTTTAATTATGCTGATTTTCTACTTTAGCCTTAAATATCTTAAATTTATCCAATGCTTCTGGTCTTTACTTAATTAGATAAATATAGTCACTGAAGAACTTTCATTAGAATTAAATGATGGCTTTGTACATAAGCTCCTTTAGATCGGATTAAGGTTCTTTTTTCGATGGGGTACTGTGGCAACGATGAATCTCGTGATCCGAACCGCTGGCCCCCACATCTTTATATAGTGTAATGTGACGGGGGCCACCAATCATGTAGGATTGGGCGTCCCCGATCAAAGCGTGAGATCAAGGACTCCAACTCGATAGTTGAACCGAGTCGAATGAGACCAATACTAACACTGAACGTATAGAAAGGCACCGGCTGGCCGCACGCAACTTTTCACGAAGCGTTCCTGCAACCGCATGCACCTTGGTACGATACGAAGGAACTGGATTAATTTGTTTCTTGGTATCTGGAATCGACTTCCTTGTGCCTTAGAAAAAGGACCGGAGCCTTTTACGAATTTCTTTAAAATCACACACTCATATAAATGCATGCATAATGATACATATGAATGCACTTACACATACTTTATAAACATCTTTGAGAAACTAGGCCTGTAAATTTTAAAATGAGCAAAATTCACCACCGGTCCCTGAACTTAGCTGGTAGTGTCATTCAGGTCCCTGAACTTTTAAAGTGATATCTGTGGATCCCTAAATTTGGCAGGCGGTATCATCCAGGTCCCTGAACTTTCAAGGTGATCACCGCAGGTCCCTAAACTTGGCCCACAATGTAATCCCGGTCCCTAAACTTTCAAGGTAATCACCACAAGTCCATAAACTTGGCAAGCGGTATCATCCTTGTCGAAATGTGACCTAACCTACTCTATAAGCTAGCGTGGCACACTGACTGTACGTTAGACGTGGATCTAACATGGGTCAATTAATCAATCATTAAATAATTTTTATCATAAAAATATAAATTATATAAAATAATTTACATCAGCAAAAAATAAATTAAAGTATTAAAATAATTTACAACAACAAATATATTAGGTTTAAACTAAAATAGTAAAATACTAAAATTAATTTAATATTTATTTATCATTAATAGTATTAAAATAATATTAAAAATCCTATAGTATTAAAAATTACTTCTAATTTTAGTATTTTAATAGTAGTATTATAGAAGTAATACTAAAATCATTATTAATAATAGTATTATAGTATTAAAAGTTTTAATAATAATGTTATAGTATTAATAATAGGAAAAAGTTACTTCTATAATACTACTACTAAAGCTTTTCAAATAATACTAAAATTAGAAGTAACTTTTAATAGAAAAAAAAAACTTTTAATAGTATAGGTAACTTTTAATATTATTATATTTGGACAGGGATGACACCGTTTGCCAAGTTTAGGGACATACGGTGATCACCTTAAAAGTTTAGAGAACGAGATGACACCGCCAGCCAAGTTTAGAGACTTACGGTGATCACCTTAAAAGTTTAGGGACCTGGATGACACCGTCTGCCAAGTTTAAGGACCCACATATATCACTTTAGAAGTTCATGGACATGGATAACACTGTCGGCCACGTTCGGGGACCGGCGGTGAATTTTTCTCTTTTAAAATTAACAGTTTAATATGCACGTTGCCATAAAAATATTTAGCTCAAATCGAATGAACATGTTTCACAACAAAAAATCTAGTCAACAGAGGTATAACAAAATGGAGTTGAGCTCCTTGTATAATTTCTTGGATTATTTTGCGGAAATAAATCTTTGGCCTCGTGGATTTTCCTCATGAGGCCATTGTCATGTTTCTCCCTCTTTCATTTCCCACCTCACTGCAACCACCCTCTACTCCAGGTCCCAGCTAAGCATTGCGAAGGGTTGAATTAGAATTTTGAATTATTTTAAAAAATAAATCTAATGGCTCAAAGAAATAGTAAATAATTTTTAAAAAGATGGTCATTAAGAGCATCTTCAAGTGTCTCTTTATATTTTTTCTAATTTATAGAAATATATAGATTTTGGTAGAAAAATAGCCTTCAATGGCTTCTTTACCTGGATCTCCAAATATAGACATTATCTATTCCATATTTCTCGCAAGTTAAAAGATGCAGAGTGAGGATGGGATGATGACTCTCTATAGTACGGAATATATAGAAAAACGGTTGGAGGTTGAAAAGATGTAAAACATAATTTTTACTCTAATAATTTTCCAATTGATGATTTAGAGGGTAGATTTTAGAAACACTTTTGGAGATACTCTAACCAGTGGTAAGCAAGCCGTCAACTGTGTCATCTTCCTCACTCTCACGTAGGGCATGTTTCGATCTCCTAAAATAATGAGAATGAGGTAGAAAAACGATAATATAATCCAAACACTTGAATTGTAGAATGAGATTCTAGAATCCAACTATCTATCCTAAATCTACTATTTAGGAATTTTTATTATACAAATAAAGTAATCACTATGAAAATTAAGATCTAAATACCCTGATTTTTCTTATCCAAATTCTACATTCATTATCTAGAATCCAAAGTCTAAATGAGATTCAAACATGCACCCGGCCCCGTTCGTTTCGCTGAAAAAACAAGCCGAAACACTGTTCCGGCTGATTTGTTGGGAGAGGAAAACACTGTTTCGACTAAAAAACAAGCTGAAAAAGACGGATTATAACGAACAAGGCCATACAGCCCATAATTTAAGTTTGTATAAATTTAAATAGCTCGCCACAAAAAAAAGTTTAATTGGCACCCATGGATTTCACTTTCTTTTTATTTTGCGGTTATTCCTCTCCTGCCGTCTTACAAGCAAAAGCAATTCAGTTGAGGCCTCCATCCGGGGAAAAAAATTAGGTGGGCGATGGTCCAGCGCGGAGGCGGGAGAACCATCGGTATCGGTTCCCCATGACCATGACCCCATCCCTTCCCTTCGCGTCTCCTACCCTCCTCTCCACATAACCCGGCCAGCAATGCAACTGTTCGTAAGGAACCCGACCAGCAGCAGTGGCGGCTGCGCGTTTCTGCTGGCTGCTGCTGCTGCTGCACTGCGGCCACCGTCGGCCACGCTCTCATGGAGGAGGCCGGGCTGCAGTCGGAGGAGCAAGCGGTACCTCAGTCTCCCGCGCGCAAGCACCGACGGTTCAGGGTCCGGTGTTGCGGCGGCTGAGGCGTCTACCGTGGGAGACACCTTGGAACGGGAGGAGGGCGGCGGCGGCGCAGAGGCAGGTGCTTCGGCTGAGTCATCCAACCGGAAGCAGCCGCCCCCTGTCGATCCCAAGATCGAGAAGGAGCTCAAGAAGGTTTCTTTGCTTCCTTTGTCCCCTTGGTTTATTGGACTCTAATTCTTTTTCTTTTTCGCTAAATTCTATGAACTTACGCCACAAGAGCTAGCTTGCAGTTTGTAGGAAGGGAGTAATTGTTGTAGATGATTTACGATCAATCTAGATTTGTCATTTCTTTCTTTTTTGCGCAGTAGTTTGGAAGGTTTCACAAAAAAGGGTCAATCTTAACCACTAATACAGCTAACAAAACTCACCATTGAATCAACTAATTTTATATGGGTGCCCAAACACAGTTCCTTATACATTCCTGATTGTAGTTATGATTCATTGCTGAACAACAGGCAGTTCAGAAGACTGCAGCAACCTTTGCACCGAGGGCGTCCACGAAAACAAAAAACCCCGCTGTCCCTGGAACTGCCCTGTACACTGTCTTTGAAGTCCAGGGATATGTCTCCATGCTGTTGGGTGGAGCTCTTTCCTTCAATCTTATATTCCCATCAAATGAGCCAGACATCTGGAGGTTGATGGGAATGTGGTCCATTTGGATGTTCAGTAAGTAATAATTTTGCAAGTTTTGTTCTTAGTAAGAACATGATTTTCACATCATTTTGCAAGTTTTGTTCTTAGCAAGTTTTGGTGGGGACTGGAGGGGGATTGAATTGGATTAAGGCCTTGTTCTGTAGCTTGGGATCAAATCCCCAAGCTGAATCAATCCAGATGGCGAATTAGTGGATCCCCTGCTGTCACTCATTCCCTGGGGGGTTTAATTCCCCAGCAGAACTAATCCCCTGCCTCCCATTTGTTGTTCGGTTAGCCAGGGATGAATGCAGGATTGAGAATCTGACAGCATGTATACCTATCCAGACCTTTAACTAACACAACAGAACATGATCAAGCTTGAAACAATTCAAATTACCATGCAAAGCAAACCCAGTAGAACCTGACAGACAGATATAAGTGCTTGTCAGGGAAATACATGATGAAATGAAAAATGAATGAATAGCTCTGACCCGTTCATTTCCCCAATGATAAGTGGCATCTGCATATGTAAGTAGAAACCAGTACTTCCAGTTAGTGGCGGAGCTTGATGGAAAAATAAGAGGGGGCCATTAACAATTTTTCAATGAGCAAGGAGGGGCCATGGCCCTCCTTGGCCTGCATGTAGCTCCACCAATGCTTCCAGTTCCAAAAAAAAACAATTTTCACGCCAATTATCAGGCAACATATTATAGTAAAATACACTTCTTTTAGAAAGTTGTAGCGAATGCTTCAAAAAGCACCAACAGTGTTTTTACTTTCTACCATTGTCTATATATGCTTGATTTATTCTACACAAACAAATATGATAACTGAAACTCATAATGAAGTATCCTCTCTTCCGACTGTGATCTTTCTCATTTGCAAATGGTTATCTTACTTGAGTAGTTGGATATATTTTATCCTGAGAACCCAACCAAACTTTTGCAATTTCCATATTCAAGATGTTAGACCATAAAGCTGAAAGCGCAATGTCAATCCATTATTCTGAAATCTAACATATGATGAATTCTCTTTGATTTAGTAATATGTGGACTTGATTTAGTAAGATGGTAGACATATAATGAATTCGCACAAGTTGCATCTTTTTATTTCACAATCTGAACTTGATTTTTGAGCATGAAACGGCAGGTGCTCTGCCTTTGCATTAAGTAGAGGTGAAAAAGAACAGGTACAATAGGTTTACATGCTGGTTATACATTCCCAGCCAACAGAAAAGGTAGAAACTAAAAAGAAGAAAGAAAAAACTGCACTGCAATTGCAGTCTGAAACTGTCGCTATGTTACATACTAGCCATTTACATGTTCTGACTCATGCGCCATGGCATATAGCATAATGTCTTGTTGAATTAAGCTTGCTACCTGTTTTGGTGTTTGTGTTTTGTTGTCGAAGACTCTCCTGCAGCGCTCTTTCCATAGGTTCCAGACAGCGTAGATGATCACCTCGGCGCGGTTTGTGGTTGTCGTTCTTTGGTCTGGTCCAACCATGGCAGACACCATGTCTTGATCTTTGTGGTTGATGTGCTCTGATTGATTACTGGAAGATTAAACTTCTGGGCTAGCAATGACCAGACCATTCGTGAAAAGGAGCACTCAGCCACCAGATGCTTCAGTGATTCAGTTTCTGTTGTGCATAGCTTGCAGATAGGGTCTGCTTGGCCACCTCGCCGTATTATCTTGTCTGAAGTCAGAATCTTTCGCTGGAGCAACAACCAGCAGAAAAAATCTACATTTTGGTTCAACCTTGGCTTTCCATACTTTCTCCCAATCATGATCAGGGAATGAACCAATGAACTGAACATTGTAGGCTGATTTGACAGTGTAATTTCCATCTGCTGTGAATCGCCAAGTGATCTGATCTGGTCGTTCATCTAGTTGTACTTGCTGTAAGGATTGCCGAAGTGACACATATTGCCTTAACTCTTGATCAGTGGACATACGCCGCAGACCTCGCATCCATAGATTCCCTGCCAATGCTTGGGCCACTGTTAAATTTTTCCATCTGGCTAGTTTAAAACATAGAGGTGCAATTTGCTTCGGTGTAGTTCCAGCCAGCCATCTATCATGCCAAAAATTTGCAATTTGAACTTGATTGACAAGTTAACACTGTTCTGAATTCACATGTACTAGGTTTCAATTAAAACTGAGATATTTATAGCTTTTGTCTGTTCTGGAGAGTCTTTGTGCTATTCATGGAATTATATGCACTAACCAGTTCAAACTTTAAAGCCCTTCAACCTATGGAATTTGACTACATGAGTAGATGTGGCCACAATTGCATTAGAGAGGTCTCAAACTTAAGGCCACTTGGCTGATAGGCTCTGATAACTTATTTGAGTTAAATGCATGTGACAGTTCATTTAAAATTCCATGCTAATGGCGAAAGTTGGAAACAATATTTCAGTCTTATTATACATGAAAAATTCCTGTAGTTGATGTTGGAGTTACAAGAATTTAAAACTTTGTGGCCATGTCTTGAAACTTTGACTCATATATTTTTTTTTTTTTGCTTATCTCATACTGCATAGGAGCCTTTTCCTCAATATATTAATGGAGCATTATCTACTTTTGCAGCTATACCTTCACTTCGGGCTCGTGACTGCTCAAATAAGGAGAAAGAAGCTCTCAACTACTTGTTTCTCCTGATCCCTCTGATCAACGTTATAATTCCATTCTTTGTGAAGTCCTTCGCTGTTGTCTGGTCAGCAGATACAGTTGCTTTCTTCGTGATGTATGCATGGAAGGTAACTTCTCATGCTAGTCTTTTATGGTTCTTCAGATCAACAGCCTGTTCGGGAGGCCGTATCGTATCGTGGATTATTCACTGCTGGCTGGTTTGGTGTGAGAGAAAAACACTGTTCCCGGCTGAAAATTTACGATCGTTTACGAGCAAGCGAACAGGCAGCAAGTCCTTAAAATATCTTTAATCATATTTTTATGCACAGCTTGGATGGCTGCAAAGGTTGGAATAAAGATTTTTGGTGTGCTATCCTGGTAATGTGTGCATGAAAGGTACTTTGCCATCTTAACGTTGCCTGTTCCTTCAAGATTGAGTTCTTAATATATGTTTATAGTCATATTATTTCTGTGCAGCCTGGATGGTTGGTTTCAAAAGGTGGAGTCAAGAGCTTTTGTGATGAGAGAAACATTTAGTCCTCGAAATTTTCACATCTTTTGGAGGGAACTGCCTGATTAGTTTATTCCAAGATTTAGTGCATATAGCCTTTTATATCTTGTGTATATGCAGGGAGTATGAAAAAACAGCCTTTGACATTTAAGTGATAAATAGACGTACTTGAAGTCTCAACATTTTTGTTGACTAGGAACTAAACAGCTCTAGATGGGTCTTGATTTCTCAATACATTTTGTCCTAGATGATATCTGTGCTGACTGCTTTTTTCTGAAAAAGAAATGGGGTATGAGTGGAGTCAGATGAAGCAAGAAGCGCAGCTTGGAAACATTGGATGGTTCATGTCGTCTCTGAGATTGCGATATCCTTCCGGGAAAGAATAATAGGTTGCACATCCCATGCGTATTTTGTTGCCCTACCGAAGTCATTGCATGCTTCAGGCGCTTTGTATCTTTTCCCCATGTTTGCTTTCTGTTCAACACTTAGAAATTTAAGATGCAATAGATCTTCATCTGGTTCATCTGGCAATACTGGTTCAGTATCAACTGCCCTCGTCCCATGTTCAAGATAAATAATTTAGCAGCTGTAACGAAGCATACTGTAATTTTGTGGCTTGCCATCAGCAGGTTGTAATCCCAATTAGAAGCAGCGCGTGGATGATTTTACTAAGGGACTTGGTAGCGCTCCGACCCGATCTAGGGCTAGCGCCCGGACGCCCGCACAACGAGTGAGCGAGCGCCCTAGTGTAACACCCTCACTGTTACGCCCTAAACAAACTACTAAATTATGTCATGAGCATCATGTTTATGTAATAATGCATGTGATAGAAGGTGGTGATAAATTTCTTGTAGCCTAAAATAACCAATAAAAATGTTAAATATAAATTTATTCAATAACTCATGTTATGTCAAGTAGGGTGGAAAATCAATTTTTATTGAGCAAAAGTATTATAGAACAAATGTGTGACAGCTAAATAAAGTTTGAAGTACAAACTTTGTAAATGACAATGCAACTCTTGCCGTAGAAAAATAATATGACTAGCTAGTATTTCTAATGGATTGAAAATGGAACTTGAAGTCAAATTCAGCTCAAGACTCGGAAGAAATTTTAAGTTTGAAAACAGTGTGACAATGCCATGTTGGTGAATTAATTCTGAAAAATCTAGCTAAAGGTCAATGTTGTGTTTTTGCTCCTTATGGTAGACTGATGTACCCTCGTTAGCATGGTTGAGGTAGTTTAGCTTCAACTGTGTTAGGTTAGTTTTTAGACGCGCTTTAAAATTTGTGCACGTCATATGTCATCTCGCGCGGCCGCTCGGCGTCGCGTGGCTGGCCACGTTCCGTGTGCCGTGGTGCCGAGCCCAATCGGCCTGTATGGCTGTGGGTTGGCCGTGGCCGGCCCAACGGGTCATTGTCATCATCGCTTCGCACAATAGGCCTTGGCCGTCGTGCTCTTCGCCCACCTCGCCCGCCACGCTCGCCGCCGCTTTTTCCCTCACGCTGTGGTGTTGATGTTGTCCTTCTCGCTATCACAAGCGTGGGCTTGTCCTCGCCGCCCGGTCTTGCACACGTCCGCTCTTTTGCAATCTGAGCATTTGCTGGCCCTACCCGTTAGCCTTTATCCTTCGCCACGTCTTGTATTCCGGCCGGCGCGGCAGAAGCCAAGCCGACGCCGCGGCAGTCGCCGTCTGGCCGTCGTGGCGCTCGTCTCGCCACTCAATTCACCTATCCGCCGAGTCACTACTTGCCTCGGCTGTCTTGTAGCGCTGCGATCTCGCCCCCACTGCCCTGTCGCTCACGCGCTGTTGTTGCCTTGGCGCGCTGTACCTGACGCTCTTGCTTGTTCTGTTTCCGTCGTTATCCCCTCACTCACCGACGTGCCTCTATTACCGCCTTCATGGTCATGTCCCCACGTGGCTGTGCCCTCGTCATGTCTTGGTCGGTCCACGTTAAGTCGAGGCCACGGGCCACGATGTTGCAGCGGTAGCGCACCATCCCCTTCTAAATCCCCAGCTTGGGTCACCGTCCAATTCCTCATGCCGTGAGTAGTATAGGAAGTTAATTAGGCACCCCATCCTCCTTAGGCCCGGCCGAGCACTGCCGACTGACAAATCGGTGTTTTGCTCACCGCTGGCCAGGCGCGCCGTGGAGCTGGTAGATTTGGGGGTAAGGCCTGAGGGGTTGGTAGCGGTTCAATTGCTTGTATTCTCGAACTCGCCTTAACTCTCTCTATCCGATGCCTATTTTGGCCAAAGAACTCATCGGCGACGTGGTGACGTGTCGGTGACCCGCTCGGAGCGTCGCCACACGGTGCGGGCACACGTGGCCAAGGTTCTCCCGACCTTCCCCTTCTCAATCGGTTGCGCGATTGACCTCGTGATAAGCCCTTTATGCTCCCTCACAATCTCTATCGTCTCGTTAGCTCTTAGACTCGTCAGAACAGTCGCGCTACCGCCGCAGATAGCCGCTCGCCACTGTAGCTCGCGACAGTGCGCCTTCGAGTCCCTAACCGCCACCCATCCTTGCGCGTTTAGCCGTAGATGGTGGTCGGCCCCTTACTTTCGTCGTAGCACGCCTAGGTTGGCCGGTGTAATCGCCCTATGCCGTCGGCCGCCGCGTCGGCGAGTGCGGGGATCCCTAGGGACCTCTCCGTGGTAAAGATGGAAACATCCGAGGGTTTATTTGCAAAACCACTGTGGATAGGAATAGTGCGCATAGTAGTCATGTTATTATCTAAAAGCTCGGGGGCTTTTCTGCAAAGCCGCCATCGCGCGCGGGCTCCCTCGGCCTTGGGCCACGTTAGGCCGTCACGACGCGCACGCAACCGCTCCCCGCGCTGGGCCGCCGGGCTGCTGGGCAAAATTAGTTGCCGCTGATTTTTTTCCTTTTTCTTAAGCAATTCCTAATTTGGTTTCTAAGCAAACTTGTAAATTCAATATAAATTTGTATAGTTGGCAAAAAATTATAAAACTAATTTTGTTAGGTTCCTAAAATCATGATCTATCTGCTAGTATATTTTGTTCATAGAGTTTTATAATATTTTCAGGAGTTATCTAATTAATTTGAGATGCTTAGTATTGTAAGATATAAACTTGTAGGAATTATGGTGATAAATTGGTGATGCTCATGACACGTAAATTGGCTCTAAAACTTTCACAGTAAATTTCTAAGATTATTAGGTGTGCACTGTAATTTTTGTAGCTCCATAATAATTAGTTTGTTAAGGTATCTAAATGAGTCATAGTTCAAAAATATATGTTTAATCAATAAAATACCGAAACACCTTGGGATTTTAAAACTAAAACATTTTTCCAGAGGTGAAGCCTTACTTAACGACGTGGATACATAGACTAGTACGTTAGTCATTAAAGCTAGTTCGTTAGCTTACAGAGCGTAATTGTATTTTAGAGTTGCAGTTGTCGTTGATTATTTATGTCTCTGCGTTGCATCCACGTATATAATAATAGGAACAATGATGGATCATGGAGTCGATGGAAGTAGCAGAAAAGATGGTGCCTAATGATTGTGTCACCATGATAGAATGCTAACTTTTGGTTATATTTTACCTAGGCAAGCCCCAGTGCATAACCCATATTATTCTGCACTTTATTTTATGCTTGTGCGTTAAGTTTTAAGGAGTTGAATGAAAACCACTTGCATATATATATATATATATATATATCCTTATCCTATAAGTCCTACTAGCATATCAGGATCGTGTAGATTGCTATGCTATAGGATCCGGTAGAAGTCGAGTGATTACATGTCACTCATGAGAGATAGGAAATATATTATTGTTGTTATTATCATATTACTATCACATGGAATATATATATATATCAGGATGATAATTGGAGATCGGGCGGAATGGTACTTTGGATCTAGACTTGGTTAGGCATTTGAGCGAGGCTCGGGTTGCATTTGTTCCGCCTGTATCGATTGAGGACCGTCCGTTGCTGTTGATGGTAGTCAGTATAACACACTCAGTGTTACACCATAAATCATTTATTAAAACATGTCATGAGCATCATATTTATGTGTTAATGCATGTGATAAAGTGTGTAGATCAATTTCTGTAACTCAAAACTATCAACTAAAATGCGAAATAAAAGTTGATTTGATAGTCATGTTATATCACTTAGGGTTTAAAACCAATTTTTATTAAGCAAAAATGCTATATAACATATATGTGATACTTAAATAAAGTTTGAAGTACAAACCTTGTAGATGATAATGAAATACTTGCGGTCGAAAAATGATATTACTAGTTAATATTTCCACTAGCTTAGAAATCGCAAATGGAAATTAAATTCAGCTCAAAAACTTAGAAATTTTCAAGTCTGCCAACAGTTAGACACTGCTATGTTTAGCAATTTATTGTGAGAGATTAGGTTAAGGAGTGGTATAGGGTTATAGCTCAATTTGGTAGTCTCATGTGCCATCTTGAGCATGGTGAAGATGGTTTAGGTCCTAAAGCAACTGTTTGGTCGTGTTGAACGCTTTAAAATTCGTGCGTGTCACTGTCTCGGGTTGGTTGGCGCCGGGTGCACGGTCACCACGTGGCCTTCTCATGCCGTGCACATGGCCACATCCCACACGGTCAATCGTGCCGCCGCGCTTGGCCGGTCGAGCCGCCTGGACTTGGCCGAGGCCGGCCGCAACGAGCCGCTGGCCCCGCGCCCTACTGCTCTGCCTCGCGCTGCCGTCTTGGGTGCCGCCGTGGCCGCGCTGCACTGTCGTCGTGTCTGCACTATCGATGCTCCTCGCATCGCGACGCTGCCGCTACCGTCGCATCGTCGTTGCGTCCACGCCGGTCCGCTGCACCTCTACGCTGTTGCCGCCCCTGTGCGTGTCGCCTCTGCCACGCGCACGTGGGCGAGCGGCCATCGCCATGCCATTTATGGCACTGCGACACGCGGGCCACGCCGGTCGGATGCGCGAACACGTGGTCCGTAGTGCCGGCGCGTGGGCCTCCTGAGCCCGCCGCTCGCGTCCCACCAAGGCGTGGATGAGCCAAGCCCACC